TAAAGACAGACTATTTACCACAAGGGGCACACGCACTAGGGGACACAGGTGGAAACTGAGTGCCCAAATGAGCCACAGAGATATTAGAAAGAACTTTTTTAGTGTGAGAGTGGTTGACAAATGGAATGCATTAGGAAGCGATGTGGTGGAGGCTGACTCCATACACAGTTTCAAGTGTAGATATGATAGAGCCCAGTAGGCTCAGGAACCTGTACACCAGTTGATTGACAGTTGAGAGGCGGGACCAAAGAGCCAAGGCTCAACCCCCGCAAGCACAACTAGGTGAGTACAGACACACACACACACACATAGGAAAGGAAGGGAACTATCAGGGGGAAAGCGCCAAGTCATTACGACTATATATAGCACTGGGAAGGGGTCAGTATAAGCATTTGTGATGGGACGGAGGAGGAAAGGAATAGTGCCCAACCACTTGTGGACGGTCGGGGGACTGAACGCCGACCTGCATGAAGCGAGACCGTCGCCCTACCGTCCAGCCCAAGTGGTTGGGACAAAGACAGGAGCGGCGTATGTATAGCAACTGGGCTATATATGTATACAATTTATAGCCTAGTTGTTGGAAGATGGGGTTTTCATCTTGCCTATTCCAGTACACAGTTTCTGGCAGCATCTTCACACCCCCTTCCCCCCCCCCCTCGCTACCCCCTCCCCCCTCCCTACATCCCCCAACCTACCCCACGAACACACATGTATATTACCCCTTACCCAAGACGTCTCATATCTCAAAGTCTTCCTCTGGTGCTATTCTTAGACTGACCTGCTTTCCTTTCCTACCTAGGTGCCCCTACCTTGCCCCCTCACCTACCTTCCCCTCACCCTTACCCCTCCCCTACCTTCCCCTCACCCTTACCCCTTACCCTTCCGTCTCTGACGGCTTCAGTGAGTGACTGTATGTTGACACTGTAACTACAGTCCCTCAGGGCTGTATAACCTGTTTAATGCCATTTATGTAATGGTTAAGACCATTATCTGCGTCTGTAACTCTCACTACCACTCACAGGATGGGTATGGGTGCCACTACCACTCACAGGATGGGTATGGGTGCCACTACCACTCACAGGATGGGTATGGGGTCCACTACCCCCCACAGGATGGGTATGGGGACCACTACCACTCACAGGATGGGTATGGGGGGCACTACCACTCACAGGATGGGTATGGGGGGCACTACCACTCACAGGATGGGTATGGGGGGCACTACCACTCACAGGATGGGTATGGGTGCCACTACCACTCACAGGATGGGTATGGGGTCCACTACCACTCACAGGATGGGTATGGGGGCCACTATACCACTCACAGGATGGGTATGGGTGCCACTACCACTCACAGGATGGGTATGGGTGCCACTACCACTCACAGGATGGGTATGGGGTCCACTACCACCCACAGGATGGGTATGGGGACCACTACCACTCACAGGATGGGTATGGGGGGCACTACCACTCACAGGATGGGTATGGGGGGCACTACCACTCACAGGATGGGTATGGGTGCCACTACCACTCGCAGGATGGGTATGGGGGGCACTACCACTCACAGGATGGGTATGGGTGCCTCTACCACTCACAGGATGGGTATGGGGCCACTACACAGGTCCTATTGACCCACACAAACTCATTCATGCATGTGTCTATCCAACGCTTGAAACACACCATCAATCCAGCGTCTATTACCCAGTGATTTAATCTATTAATCAACAAAATTCATACAATTTATAGCCTATAGTTGGGCGGTTAGCTTGTCTGATAGTAACTTGATCGGTAAGGCTGTTGCTTCCAGCGACCCGCAAGCCCCTCCACATATCCACTACAATCCGGTTGATCCGGGAATTCCTCCAAAACCTGCCAAATCCCTGCTTGTAAACAAGAAAAATGAAGTTTACCCTTGGCACTGGCGGCCATTTTGCATTTTTTAAAACGTCATTCGTTCCAATAAGTTATAAAGTCTGCTTCCTCCGTGGCAGAGAATACAATGTGAGTATGTTGGGTATACTGTGAGTATGCGCGCGGTATGTGGTGCTGGTGCGGGCCCTCAGCGAGGCACTAAGAGGGGGCCAAAGATTGCCCCTGGTTTACGAGGCATAGTTGTGGTGGGCCCCTACGACCACTTGGGGGTCAACCAGGCTGCTGCCGTCGGCACTAAAGTAACAAATTGGTAACTCTTTTTGGGGGGAAATGGCGCCGCTGCCGGCCGCACGACCACTACTACTCACCTGTAGTACCTGGAGTTAGTGCACTCTACTGTCACTATTCTCACTTTCACTCACCTCCACCAAGCTTACGTCGCCATCATTCAAGTCCACTAAGTTTACAACGCCACCACTCAGCTGCACCAAACTTACGTCAGAAAAAAGGCGCTGAACTTATGAGTCGTGGAAAAGAAGTTCCTGTAAAACAGTCTAATAGGAGGTACAGTTGTTGTGTTGATTGATTCCTCAGAGGTTGCATGACGTGTCACCTTTCTTTTAATGACGTCT